GCAAACAAACCCAGGGGCCTGTTGATTAACAGTTGCAGGACAGAACAAGGGTTTTTTCCCCATCCCAGACAAACACAGGTCTGCTTTATACCTCGGGCTGGACCAGGCAGGTCCCTCCACGAGCTTAATTAACCTGCAAAACAGCAATATTTGGAGGTTTCCACCACTTCCCATCAGGTGAGGCTCTTCTCCAAAGGACCAACCTGTGTCCCAGGCTGTGGCTCTGGGCAGCAGCTCGCTGAGCTACACCTTTGTGTTGGTCTCGTCCCAGTCACCACATGCAACAGCATCAGTTTGTGTGTGGGAGCCAGTGCTGGAGCAGCTCTTCCCATCCTAAATTTTAGATCAGGTGGCATTAAGAACACAACAGAGACAGCAGCAGTTCCTGGCTTTGGGCATAAATACTGAGAAGGCCTTTGTCAGCTCCTGGGAGAGTATTTGGTTATTGATTTTAGTTAACCTGTGTTTTGTGAGGAGGATTCATGCTTTGTTCTGGGAACTTCCCAGGGCCAAGTCCCAGAGTTTCTGACCAGGATCCATCTAGACCTGGTGCTCCCAGCAGGAGAACTTAAGGCTAAATGCTCTCCAGCATTTTCTGCTTAATGTAACAACCCCAAGATGTCTGACCTCTCTGTCCAAATTCTCCTCTTGACTCTAATTTTGTGCTGTGGTTTTTGCCTCAGGAGCTGATGGATGGAGAGTAAACTGCTGAATGCTTTGACATGCAACTTCCTGGGACTAGCCTTAATTTGTCCAATTTATAACTGCCTTGGTTTTGTGGGGACTCCTCTTCCCACCAGCCAACTGACTCAGAAGAAAAAAAAATCATTGTTCTTCCTGCAGAATTCAGAGTGGCCTCTGGAAATAGGTGTTTTTTTCTGGTGTGTTTTCTTTTTGAAGGATGTACTCAGTGTGATAGTCAGAGCATGTGATTGCTGAGATGCAGAGTAAAAGTGAGCTGCCACAAACAGAACTCCTGACTCAAATTCTCAATAACTGGGTCTTGCTATGGAAGCAAAATCTCACATATTTTGTTACCCAAGAGTGGCTGTTCGTTTGCTCTTTGCTTTGTTCCTCCTTGTTTGTATTTGAGATTAATAGCAGCATTTTTACTTCTCTCAATGTATAGAAAGCTTTCATAAACTTCTAATTCTTCCTACTTATGAACCAGTTTTTGATATAAGAAGATGAAGTTCTGAGTAGATAATCTAATAACAGCTGAAGATATAACCTGCAGAGGGAGAACAGGTTACAGGGCAGAGATAAAAAGTCATTAGTACTGTCCTCACACCTGCCATGTTAGTCAGTAAAACAGAAGTTTTAGTCCAAAGACGTACGTTATCACAAGTAGGGATGTAATTTTTTGTACTTGGAAAACCCTGCTCAGAGAATGAGGACACTTCATGCGTAAAAGGTACGTGTGGCTCATGATGAGGTGGCAGGCATCCTCATTGCAAGGCCATGCTTTAGTTAGACACAAAACATATCATCTCGATGAGCTGAAGGAAAAGGTGCAGTGCTAGAGAGAAAATCTTTTCAAAGGTTCCAAGGCAACATGAGAATGAAAAACCAGCTTTTCTGTGTTCCACAGTAATACTATTTTTCCCTCAATTTAACTGATGGCAATA